GTAGAACTTGGATCCTTGCGCTTTCAAGGCAGGCACCAGAACCACTGAGCTAAATCCCCAGCCCCTGGCCACCTTTCTCAAGACCTCAAGCTCCAGTTGGGGCAGCTGGAGGTTGAGTTGGTGACATGCTTGTGTCTTCTCGTGCCCATGGGCCCCAGAGCTCCTGCTTCTCATCCAGTTTCTCTGTCTTCCGTTTTTGCACGAGATGTGTCCCTTTCTCCTTCTTGTGTAGCTGACATTTCTGGCTTGACTTGCTAGACAGTGGTTGGACATATGCATTGAACATTAACAGAAAGTTTCCTTTTTCAGAGACTTCAAACAAGTAAAAGGGCTGGAAAGGTGACAGTTTTGGATGACTCCGTAAGGAAATCCAGAGCCCTGAGTTCTGGATGTGATACATAGCCTCAGTTAAAGTTTTAATGCTGAGGTTATTTTATTAGCTAATAAGCTAGAGAGGTAATAAAAACAACTTACATGTGTTATTATATTTTATTAGCCACAGGTTGGAATAACACCATTGGCATCACTGGAGACATTTTAGAGCCTTACTTGAGTAGAAACTGTTTAAAAATATATCATTTGATGGGGCCATGCCCAGATGTATAGATTGCTTCATTGGCTCCAGGCCGGTTTCCAAGATCCCGATAGTGTGCTGGAGCCAGAAGAGATTGCCTTAGTTCAGCCTGTCTCTCCTTAGCCACCTGCTCAGCAGCTAGTCTGTGGTACGATGCAGCACAGGGAAAGTAGAGAGGGGCCCCTGGGAAGGAAAGCATGTGTACCCAGTAGCCTGCAGCCAGAGCCCTGATCGGGCCATGGACCCTGAGCCATCTCCCACCAAGCGTCCAGCTGTGGCCCGCCCTCTCCATGGGGCTCTGTGGCTCTGCCTGCTTCAGCTTCCCACTGGATGATCTATGGCTTTAGGATGTGGGCCTTGCTTTTCTAGGAGGGGTAGGAAACCAGGCGTAGGGAAATCCTTACTCAGCCAGTACCCTAGTGTAGAACCTTGAGCCAGGGTACCCAATAAGTGGGCATGTTGCTGAGGTACATTGCCAGGGGGTGGCTGGGGTTAGGCTATGTGCCCACAGATACTGTCCTTTGTATACTCTGTACTCGGTATTTGTAACTACCAGGAAGTGTGCAAGATCCTCCTTTCTATGGGAGAGAGGCTTGCAGGTGGCTTTGCATATCTGTGGAAGGATTGTCCCCAGGGTTGGCACCAGCCAATAAGTTCTTAAGCTGACTCTGGACTCTGTTTCATGGGCCTTTGATCTTGGTTTATACATTTGCTCCACTTGAGCATTTTTGTGAAGGAGCCCTTTTGCACGTGGCTTCTAGAACCAGGTGTGTGAACACTTCAGATTAAAGGTACAAAATGCCTATTTGCTTAGACCTTTGGAACCGCTCAGTATTCAGATAAAAATACCTCAGGTCCCCAGAGAGGCTGATAGGGGCCAGGCATTGGGGCCCAGATCAGACCTCAATAGTGAATGTGAGTGTACAGGGTCTTCCTTTTGGCCCAAGAGACAGTGGGAACCAGAGGCCCTCCAACCCACCAGGAGAAGGGCTGAGGAAATCAGACAGCAAGGGAGGGCAGAGAGCTCTGGGGTCCTGGCCCCACCTTTGTCTGCATCACAGCTGGTTTTAGCAGGAAAAAGTGACTTGGGCATAGACTTCATGATAGAACTAGGTGTGACCTCAGGGCTTGTCCATTCCAGCCCCTCCTGAGGAACCTGAGGCTCTGGTAGTCACTAGGTCACTTCTGGACATGGTGCTTACTTTTGGATCTGTATTTAGGGGGGACATTGACAAACCAGGAGACCTTCAGAAGAGGGACAAGAGGCTGGAGCCCTTGGCATACTGCTTAACATCTGTGTGCAGCAGACACCACAAGCACCAACACAGGAATGTGGGAGGAATATGAGAAATAATGAGCATGTGTATACTGTGTTCAGCTATGTGTGTGTATCTGTTCACATGTGTGTTTGTGTATCTCTTAGTGTACATACATATCCATACACGCATCACCCAGTGTACTGCCTGACACAGGCAATCCAGACAAATACTTTTACCGTCATCATAGTCAGGGCCTGCAGGAGCGTGCAGCTCATTGTAGGCAACTCAGAACTGAGGTAGAGGTGAGTGTTCTAGGGTCACACTCAGTCTCTTATAAGAACACCTTTTTTCTTTTTGGTACCGGGGATTGAACTTGGGTCCTTGCGCTAGCAAGGTAGGTGGTATAACCACTGAGCTAAATCCCCGGACCCTAAGAACACCTTTTTTAAAAAAATCCTTTTCCTGACTTCCCTTTCTGTCCTTACCATTTGCTGCTTCTTGTTTGATATCCTTTTGCCTCATTCTTTTTCTTTTGTGTATGGGAAGGAGCCTGCCATGATCTCCATGTTCAGAGTTGAGGGTTATGAAATGGTGACATAATCAGATTTTCACCCTCAGCCAAAGCAAGTTGGGCGTATGTAAACATTCTTGTCTCATGTTCATTGCCCTTGAAACTAGGGTGGAAATAGCCTAGGAGCTCACCAGCATCCCACCTCTTCCCAGCCACATCCCAGGGGCATAGCTCTCATTAGTCCGAACAGCAGCCCTTGTCTCTCGGCGTGAGGATGAGACACAGGGGATGGGTGTACAGATTGCTTTCAGATTGTCTTTGCTCATGTCTTCTTAAACCCCAAGGCCAAGATTATAGTCAGGGATACCAAATAAGGCCACAGGACCCCGAGTGAGGGATTTTGACTATAGCGAGGAGAGCCCCAAAGGGGAAAGAGACATGAGTGCAGAACTGTTCACCCTCACTATAGTTGAGATTATGACCACTTGACTCCACAGAGGGAGGTACTTAAAGGCAGCGTAGAGCTCAGATACTGCCTGGGTGCAATCCTGTTGCCCTTGCTGTGCTGCTTTTGTCATCCCATGGTCTCTGAGGTTCCTGCTGCCTGGGGTTTTATGCGAAGCCATCACTTCCCCTTTGCACAACAACAGTGTGTGTCACTGAGGGCAGAGCCTAGCCTGAGCACAGGAGTTGTTTGTCAGCAGTACTTTTGCTGATACTGCTAGTAACTGTTTGTCTGAGACCTGGTGTGACCACCAAGCAGTGCTTGTCTCTTGGCAAGACTGGAGCTATCCGTGGCCATTTAGACATGCATCAGATGTGTGAGGAAAGATTACAGAAAAAGCAACAATTAATAAGATTACCCATTGAATGCCATGCCCCTGGGCATCTTAGTCTTTGTCTTATTTTTAACTCCAAGCTGGTTAGCTTGAAAGAGAAACAAATTGTGTTTTTCAACAGTACTTTGAACAGAAGCAAGACATTCATAGGGAGGGGTCAGGGTGCCAAAACAGAGGTTTGATTGATTGCAGCTGCCCACACACTATATCCCCTGAACTTCTCTGAGGAGGCCTCAGAACAGGCAGTAACTGTTGAATTAATTACCAGATGTTTGAGGGACCCATGAAAGTTGGCCAGGGCAGTTTGGGGTATGGAAGGAACATGAGGTGCAAACTAGCAAGACAGCACATCTTTAGAAAGCCTCTGAGAGCTGGGGTCCTACTGATGAGTGGAGAAGGCCTGGGTTGATCAGAGCCACAGGGTCTCCCCTGGCCGAGGGGCTGTTATACAGCACTCAGCAGAGGCTTGTGACATGTACTTAGCAATAACTCGTGGCTCTTTGCTGGGTAGAGTCATTTGTGGGTGAAGCTCCTTCTGGCCAGCCTTCCT